GCTGCAGTACTGGGACTCACCCTCCACCTCATCATACTGAGCCTTGATCTCAGCCACAATGCAGTCCATGTTCAGGTCCCGGGTATAGTCCATCTTGACCGCTGGGGAGGACCACCAAGTCACATTCCCGTGAGAAATGCAGCTCCTTGCCCCCGTTCTGTTTAGCCCTCATCTTTGCCCTGCTCACCTGTATATGCGGAGCTGGCTGTACAGAGGTAGTTGTTCCCTTACTTGGCTTGTTGCAGCAAAGCAACCGAGAGTGAGCTAGGATAGCCCCACCCTGATGGTTGAGGTAGGGACTCGAGTAAGAGCCAGAGCGCGTGAAATCTCAGGACTAAAAAGTGAGATGACATCTCTGCTGAGGCCATGGGCGCTCGGATCAAAAGTGTATTTCCAGCTACAAGATGCTGGTTCTCAAAACATTAACTTATCCATAAAACCTCTGTTGAAATCCAGCAGCCTCTGTGCTGAATGCAAAAGCACTTGCCAGGAAGGCTCAAATGGAACCAGAGAGGGTGGTCCTGTTCCTATTCCTTATGTGCATTTCTTATGTGTCTGGTGTGCATGTACTGCTTCCTCTATCTCACACAAAGTTCCGGGTCTTGGCCCTGTCTCTCCGTAGAGATCGTGACAGTTTGGTCAGGGCTGTCAAGCCAGGAGCCCATGCCCTATTCTCATTTCTCTACGTTTGTCTATGTCTGTGTCTTAGATGTCCACCTCTTCCATCAGACTGGAAGTTTCCTTGGCCCAAATCCCTTCAGTACCCAGCCCAGGAAGTGCGAGATCAGGAAGGGTGAGATCTGGGACACCCACCTTGTTGATGAAAGCAGCATACTACTGTTGAGGCACATGATCTGCTCCTTCTCGTGCTTCATGCATTGCCCTTTGGGGTTGATCTCCAGGTTAAAGGGTACAAGGAGGCTCTCACTGACCTGACCAACATGCCAGTGATGCAAGGGGCACTGGGGCTGCCCAAGCAGTAGTAGAAGCTGCACCCATAAGACATGGTGGAGGGGCTGGGGATTTAGCTCAGCGGCAAAAGCGCCTGCCTGGCAAGTGCAAGGTCATGAGTTCGGTTCCTGGTACCGGAGGAAAAAAAAAAAAAAGGCATGTGGAGAAGGCCCTCCGAAGATGCTGCAGCTGCCAAAGCCGCCAGTGAGGTTGAGGTAGGGGATGGTGGTGATGCAGCAGCAGCCGAGGTGCAGCCGAAGGTGCAGCTGTGACCAATGACAAAGGAAGGGCCATCCTTACTCCAGCTCAGAAAGAGGGTCTCCAGGGGCTCCCTAGGGGCTAAGTCCTCAAGGCATCCTGGGACTACTACCCCCCAGACACAGAAATGACAGCCACAGAACCCAAATAAATTTTGTCCAGCTCTACTTGCTGCAGGACCCATGAACTTGATGGATGTGGATAAGCGTCTAGTTTGAGAGTTCCAAATATACAGGATGCTAACATCCTCAGCCTGACCATCCACTGCCATCCCTTCTATGATTTTCTTCCTGCACACCATGCAGTCTCTCCCTCAATTTCATCAAAAGCACAAGGCCACATTCTCTAGCCCATCTCTGCTATCTGGGGTTCCCTTCAGGAGAGCTGGTCCCATAATGTCGGAGCCTGGCTCATCAGAGCCTGAACTGAGGGGTAAGACTGGGGGTTCCCAGCAAGGACAAAATCAGTATGCAGGAGGCTACTGCAGTGTACTGTCCTGGAAAATGGGAAAGATGCTGGGGGCCCTGAACTGTTAACATGGCAGGTGCTTGAGGTGACTAACCGGCAATGGAAATAAAATAATAGCAACAGAAGTAACGGTAGCTACAATTTATTGAGTACTTGCTATGCACCAAGTATTGTAGTAATACTTTATGTACACATGTCGCTTCATCCTCAAAATGTCCCTGGGAAGTTTTATTATCTCAATTCTAGGTACCAGAGTGGCACTCAGAGAGGCAATATGTAAGTTTTCACAAGAACTGTAAGAGGTAGAGCCACGGTGTGGTAATTCCAGAGCTACTTTGACCATTATGCCATGGGGAAGGAGAAATGCATTCCTGAAATGTGCACACTGATGCTTAAAATACTTGAAAATGATGCTACTAGAAGTAGACACATGAACATACAGCTCTCACCCTCTGTGTCCCATCCCCATGTCCCATACCTCTCTCTGAGCATCACTCTGGCCAGGTCAGTCATCACTAGCGCTCAGCTTGATGTTCTAAGCCACCCTGCCCATCCACCATATCCACTATCTGACTTCAGTCAGCTCCTTTCCCTGCCCTCATCCATCCCCTGTTTTCAAGCCACAGAAGGCTTCCTGCTATTCCCTGCACAGGCTCTGACCTCCCTTGCTTGATGTATTAGCCTCTCCATTCCCTTGACCTGAATCCTCCTCCCTTCTCTCACCTTGGTAGTTCCAGTTCCTCAGATCCAACCAAAGTCTCACCTTCTCCAGGAGCCCTGACCTGATCCCCCAAGCTCTGGTACTGGAGGCTCACTCTGCCAGCACCTCCTGTGGCCTGGTGCTCCCCCATGGCATCCAGAACCCTGCAGTCATGTATGGTGGCTCTCTGCACTTGCCCGCCCTATCTGGAGACTGCAGCTCCCGCTGTCACTCTCTGAGCCTGGTTGCTGATGGGTGCTCAATAGATGTGTGCCTTCTCCCCTGAGTTGGCTCCTGGGACCCACTCCTGGGTGATGAAGAAAAGACATGAGATCAAAACAGGATATTTCTTTTCATCCATAGACTGATAGTGGTGAAAAAGTGGGCAGGGGAATGATTTCTCAAAGATCTAGTTGAAGCTGAGTATGGTGGCACATGCCTGTTATTCCAGCACTGGGGAGGCTGAGGCAGGAGGATCACTGCAAGTTTGAGACCAGCGTGGACTCCATAGTGAGTTCAACATGAGCCTGAACTACACAGCAAGACCCTGTCTCAAAAAAAAAAAAAATCTGGCTGAAAATGGAGAAGCCCTTATCTTCTTCAGCACCAGTGACCATCACCCCTTGATTATGTCTGAACCCTTTCGTGCTTTGGCCCATCTCTCCACTGAGTGAGTCTGACGAATAATGAAGAGGTCATGGAGCATGTTTCCCTGAGGCTGGATCAATGATTAATGCTAACATTTGGGGTCTAGATGTCAAACCTTTCATTTCCGTCTCCTTCAGGTGGTGTTCTTAGCAGGCACAGTTCTGCCTCCAGCTCTCCCATCTCTCTGGATTTCAAGCACACTTAATTAGCTTGTGGATAAAGGCTATGTATTAACACCCTTATTGACCTATGGCACAGAAGGTCTATTTTATCCATTCGCTAAAGCTCAGAAGGAGTCCATGCAAGAGGTTTGTAACTGCTTCTATAAGTCTAATATAAATCCTCTATGCTTCAAGGTAATTCCATTTCCTTTTGTGAGCTTCCCAAAGTACTGGAATTACAGCTGTGTACCACCATCACCATCACCACCATAACCACCATATCACCCCCAGCTTAGAAGTAACCTTTCAGCCAGGCACTGGTCACACCCTCACACAAGACACTGTGGAGTCGGGCTCCGTCTTCTCCAGACAGCTATGGTTAGGCTTAAACTGCTACAAAATAGACCAGAGCTGAAGTGAAGGAATCCAAGCCCAAGAGAGTGTGAGAAAACAGCAAAGAGGGTAATGTACGTCCTGGGAAGTTAGATGCCAGATGGCCCACAGCCAGCCCTGGCAGGGCTGACCGCTGGAGTTCCAAGATTTAATTACTGCATGTACAATAATAAACATCTTTAAAGCAAAGGAAGCTTGGGTGACTTGCATGCTTCTCTTTAATGCTAGCTCACACTCTGGTTTCCTCCACCAATAACTAGACTAATAATTAACCTCCTTTATGATGGGTTGTGACCTTCTAGAGTTGATGGCCATTAGTTGAGGAAAAGGCTTGTAATCAGGCCAATTTCTCTAAGAGTTCAGAGCCCAAAAGCCCAGGCTCCTGCCTCCAAGAACTGAGCCTCACTCAGCCCCCAGAGACTCAGACCTCAGGAGACTGGTTGCTGATGAGTGCTCAGTAGATGTGTGCTTTCTCCCCTGCATGGGGAAGAGAGCTGGGGAATCACCGTCTAGGGTTCTGACCCCACTCCTCTATGGAGCCTTCCATGTAACAAGTCCCTGGACCACTCTGAGCTCACCTTCCTCATCAGGCAGACAGGCACATTGATACCCACTGAGGGGGATGCCCTGGGAGCCCCATGAATAATGTCTTTAAAAGCCTTTCTCAGTACTAGGCACATTATGGACACTCCGTTTCCCTCCCCAAGCAGAACAGAGAAGTACACAAGGAGAAATTGCCCACTTGGACGAGGGGGGCTCTGGGATTAGAGATAGGTGTTGGGTTGTAAGAAGAGAAAGTTTTTGCCCAAAGGAACACAGGAGGAATGACAAATTAATAAGAGTAGAATAAATAACCACATATGGAGCTCTTACCAAGTGCTAGGTAAGCTTCTAAATGCATTCTGGTCCATTATCTCATTAAACCCTCCCAATAACTCTCAGATAAGTGTATTATTATCCTGACTGCATTGAGAATACCGGGCCCAGCAAGGCTATTCACCCAGCCAAGAAAGGTCAGGCCAGGAAGCTGTCTCTGACTGCAGAGGCCCAGTCCCTTCCACACACAAGCACGGGCCCCCACACTGTACACCCTGCTCGGCAACGACCGCTTCCCAGCTTGCAGGGTGGAACTGGCAGTGAAGTGGGGCTGGTGTCCAACAGAGGAGCATAAGGTTCTGCCCACGGTGCAAGACCCGTGGGGACTGACCAGGTGCTTCCTGGCCCCCCTGTGAACACAATTTTATGGGGGCAGCAGGGAGGCCTGGCCAGCTTTGGTTCCTCCTGGTCAAGCTCCAGGGCAGAGCTGTCCAAGCTCTCCTAAATGCCTGGACCTCGGGCTCCCTCCAGGGACCTGCAGATCACCTTATAAGCAGCAGCATGGACTTCAGGCTCCAGCCTGCCCCCGCACCCGCTGTGGCACCATGTCTGAGCTCTTCTCGCGCCTTGGAGCCTCCTACAAGGTCTGCCCCCTCAGCTGTGCCTTGGCCTGCAGGCCTCGGTCAGGCCGCTGCTGCATCACCGCTACCCGCTACCGCGGCATCTCCTGCTACCGCAGCCTCACAGTAGGATTCGGCAGCCACAGCGTCTGCAGGGGCTTCGTTCAGGCATCTATGGACGCAGATTCGGCTACCGCTCCGGAGGCGTGTGCGGCCCCAGCCCGCCCTGCATCACCAGCGTGTCTATCAGCGAGAGCCTTCTCACACCCCTCAACCTGGACATCGACCCCAACGCACAATGTGTCAAGCAGGAGGAGAAGGAGCAGATCAAGTGCCTGAACAGCAGGTTTGCTGCCTTCATTGACAAGGTGGGTGTCCTGGATCACACCCTTCCTGAACTAGCAGGTTCTAGAAGGAGATGGAAATCCTCAGACCAGGATATTTAGAAATGAAGAATGAGCACTGCCATTTTATATAATTTTAAGTGGTACAGACCCTTGGCATTAAATGACATTGAAAAAGCTGATGAGAAAGTTCATGATCTTTTATGTCTGTTTCAGTACTTGAAGTAGGCGGAGCAACTTCCATTGGGTGCCAATGACTTGCTTTCCTCCTTCTAATAGAGCAAGTCTAAAGTTCAGAGCTGCCTGGGACAGCAATTTCAGCCAGAATTTAAAGCTTTGTGAAGTCCTTATGCACACCTACTGATACTGGATTTACAACTACAGTGGTAATGTGAAGTCATCCCTTTAACTCTTCAAACGTAAATGTTCAGCGAATCTGCTTATAGTAGATAAAGCATGCAGTACAGGGAAAGGTAAAATTCTGAAGTCAACCTGAGAAGTGTTAATATCCGAGGATTTGCTACCATTGTACACAGAAGAGAAAAGTGGCAGGGATAGGGCAAAGGGTCTGCCCAGGGGCCCAGAGGGAACCAAAACAGGACTGAGGCCCAAATTTTCTCCAGCTCCCCAGATCCCTGGAGCCAGAAGACCCAAAGCTGGGGGTCCTGCTTCCCTGCCCACTGCAGCAAGGGCTGATCCACTTTGCAGTGGGCACCATAGCCTAAGAAAGTGACCAACAAGTAGAGCATGGAAAGGGCCCAGGTCCACGCGTGTGGGGGCCTGCATTCCACCTTTGGCGCCCCTACTGATTGGTTATGTGGCCCTGAGAGTAGCTTCTTCCCCTCCAGAACTTTGAAAGGGAAGATTTGGCCAAAGCACTGTCAACCAAGACCACCTAAAATTATTCCAAGTAGTACTGGCAGCCCCTACTCCCCATTTCTGTATGTTCTGACCTCATATTCCCAGCTGCTGTCCAGGAGAGGGAGAAAAGGGTCCAAGGACTACAAGGCAGGAAGGAGACATCTCCACACTCGAGCTTCAGTGTATGAAAAGTGGCAACCTGGAGGCCAAGGGGCCTGGTCCTGTCTGCTGACACCCTTTCTGGCCACCAGTGGGTACCCTTTCCCTTGTGTCCCTCCAGTCTGAATGAGAAGGGTGGCGTGCCCCATCTTCCCTATATTCTGAATCCATCCCATCCAATTTGCCCGCCTAGGCTGCAGAAACATATGACAGTGCCTACTATGTAAGTTTAGGCCACCTAGCAGCACCCCACCACCTCCCCAGGCCTCTTCAGACCTCAGGCATCCTGCTTGGCCAGAACCTAGCATCCCTGCCCTCCGCAGTTAAGAAGCCCTTCCCAGGGCTTTGACTGCTCAGCCACTTCTCACCAAGCCGGGGCTGACCGTGAGGCCTGCTCTGAGGGAGCTCATGGGGAAGGTTTCCTTCCACCTCTCCTGATGCTGCCATACTCTCCTTTACTGCAGGATGCCCTCCCAGATTGTCAGTCCCCTCCAACCCTGCCTGACCCAAAGGCCAGCAGTAACTCAGCTCAGCCATATGCTTCTCTGTTTCACCCTCACCCATCCCGGCACCTGAACAGACAGATGCTTACTCAAGCCTGGAGAGCAATCACAAAGCAAGGATTCCTCCCCAAGTGCACCCTCAGCCAGGAAAGCTCAGCTGGGCAGGTCTGCGCATCTCCCTCCCAACTCCATCTCTGTTCTGTTTGTTCTCCAGGGAGGACAGAAGATGCCAGCCCATCCCACATACTTCTCCCACTTCCACCCCAGGTGCACTTCCTGGAGCAGCAGAATAAGCTTCTAGAGACCAACTTGCAGTTCTGCCAGGACCGCAAATGCCACCAGAGCGACCCAGAGCCACTATTTGACAGCTACATCCAGACACTGAGGTGGGAGGCTGAGGAGGTGGAGGCCGATGGTGGGATGTTGGCCTCTGAGCTCAACCATGTGCAGCAGGTACTGGCAGCTACAAGAACAAGTGAGTGCTGGGGACGTGGTTGGGGAAGGGGTGGAGAAACAAAATGAGATTAAGTCAAAGCAGGATGTATTCGGGTTAGACCACAAGAGGTACTTCCCAACAGGAAGAAGACAGTACTAATAAGCCTCTGGGTGGAGGGAATGTCTGTAAAAGGCTGAGAGTTTAAAGGTTATAGAGATTCTGTACTGTTCCAGTTGCCTCATCATTAAATATTTTATTTCATTAATTCATCAAATATTCATTGAGCGTCTGTTCCATGTTTCAGGTGCTGTGTTAGCCCTCAGTGGGGAAAGGGTAAGAAAGGAAGGAGGAGGGGAAAGGTAGGTAGAATTAGCCCAGGATTCTTACCCCGCAAGGAATTGCAGTCTGGAAACAGAAGAGGACTTTCAAATGTGCAAAGCATCCACCCTCACCCCCACCAGAAACAAGAATCCCTAAAACCAGAAGTGCTTCAGGTCACACAAATTGATTTGTGTGCCCAGAGATAAGGATGAATAGGTCCCTTCTATTCCAACACTTTTTAAATTCTACAACCACCTCCAAAAGATCCAATTCCTGGCATTCGTCTGGGGCTTTATTCTGTTTTTTTCTTCACACATCTGAGCCTTCTGTTCTTCACCTCCAGGTATGAAGAGGAAGTATCCCTCAGGTCGACTGCAGAGAATGGATCTGTGGCCCTGAAGAAGGCAAGTGGCCCCAAAATACTCATGCACCAAATCAGAACTGAGGACAGAGGCATCAGGGACCTCTCCGTGGACGGAGAGGCTGAACAGTTCTCTAGAACCGCATAGCCCAACTTTACCCCTATTCCTTAACCGCAGGCACTCCGAAGCTCCCTGGGCAGCCCCTGATATCAGAGTGCAATGCCAGCTTCACAAAGGGCAATAGTCTTGCCCCTCTGCCCACTGACTTTCCAACACCTCTGGTCTGTGGCCATCATAGACTGGGCACTCAACAAATACGTGTGGACACAGGAACACATGATGGCAGGGAGCCATGGCAACCTAAGCCAGCAAGCTGGCAACCCTCACCCTTTAGACCTGACTGCACAGTGCCACTATGGGGCCCTTCCTCCAGCCACCTTGATGTGAGGAATGCCGGGGCTCCTGAGGAAGGCACGGGTTCCTGAGGATATGAGGTACAGAAAACAAGAGCCTTGCTCTGGGCCTCATTGGCTTAGGAGGGGCATGGCTAATCCCTGAGCCCTCTTCTCCTGACCCAGATTCACATTCTCATCCATGAGATCCAGAGTTGAGAGGGGTGAAGCATCATTAGATATGACCCACTTCATACTAGATCCTAAGTATGGGCAGTAGTGCATGGTGTGAGCTCTACAGGAGTCACCCCAGTGTCACCAGAGAAAGTACCTGAAAACCTCAGTAGGGTCCCCTGCTCACCCCTGCCCTTGACCCACTAACTGCATAAAGGGCTACACCACAGCCCTAGACACAGGAGTGACCATTTAAGAGGGTCCCAGGGAGATTTCTCAGCCTGATGGGCACCCTTCACTGGTGGAGAGAAAAATTCAAGTTCCACATTGTCTCCCCAGTGGGTTGGCTTCTGAGACGCCTGGCTCAGGATGTGGACAGCAACGATCAGCATAAGTCTGACCTGGAGGGCAATGCAGAGGTGCTGCTGAAGGAGACCAACCTCCTAAGGCGTCTGTATAAGGAGGTGGGGAGCAGCCGAGCAATGGGGCAGCAAGGTGGATGTTAGACGTTAGGGAGGATCAGTCACCGTTTTAGCTTCTGAGGCCCAGAGTAAGGGCTGAAGAGTACAGAGCATGTGAAAGACCCAGGCCAGTCTGCTGTTTGACGGAAAGAAGCACAACTTGATCTCTTATCTCCATGACATACAAGCTGGTATCCTGGCCTCTGAGGGGACGGTTATCACAAGCTGGCAAACTCTGGTCCTAGACTCAAGGATGGAGTTGGAGGTCCTGACTGGAACCAGACAGCTGGCCTCAGATGTGGGCTCTCTCTGCCTTTTCTCATTCCTGGGACTCTGGGCTGGAGGACCATTGAGGGTCCCAAAATTGACCAAGAACACAGCAAGAAAAGCAGCAAGAGCAAAAGGGAGGGATGTCGGCAAGCAGACTCTTTCCCTCCCTTGCATTGTATGCAAACTACCCACCCCAAGGCGATGTAGCACTCACACCCATAATCCCAGCATTGAACCATGGATCAATCACAAATCTTAGAAGCCTGCCCTATGACTGCGTGAGGATTTGGGGGAACATGCAGACACAAACCATAACATTCCACCCCTGGCCCCCCCAAAGACTTATGCTCATCTCTTTAGATAAACGGCATTTTAGTCTAGCTCTAAGAGTTGCTAAAATCCTAACAGTTTTAGCATTGCTGAAAAGTTTAAGTCTTAAGGTTTTTTTGAGATGTAAGGCAAACTTTTAGCTGTGAGCCCCTGTATAAATGAAAAGTTAAACACTTTTAACATTTAATGGCACAAAATAAACATTATCATTTTAAAAGATATAGACAGGGGGATATAGAGCATTGGGACCAAAGCAAGTTTAACATCTAGCAGGGCAAACATTAAGTCTTGTAATTTTATATTTAGCATCTGAAGCAACTTGTGGCACAAGCGCTTGCATGAGTCTAACCCTATGGCACTTTTGGTGATTACAGCTCTCATGACTTTTTTGGGAGGCCCACTTTGCTTTTTTTTTTTGCAGCCTTTTTTAGACAATCTATGTTTTTGGCTTTTTTTAACTTTTGAGGTGTCTATTGTATTTTTTGTTTTATATTTATAGCTTTATACACTGCCCTCTCAGGGGCACACTCCCTGGCTTCCTGGGCCTTTTGAAATTCAAGTGAAAGCTTTTTTAACCTTAGAACTCTTGCATTTTATATGTATTTAAAACCAGTGTCACATGGATTATGTCAAGGCCCACTGTCACCTGGAGAAGTAGCCAAGCTTTTTTTCTTTTTTTTTTTTTTTTTTCCATATGGGTTGAGTGTTTGGATTGCTGGGCACTCTGAAT